TACTTGTTTGTAATATATGCAGCGAGATTTACCTACGTATAACCTAATAATAATAATAATAATATTATAATGATAATAACTAGAGCACTCGGAGAGCACAGACCTCCGCCAAGGCAGCTGAATTCTCTCAATGTGGAATTTTTTATTGATTAATTAATTAATTGGATCCGGATTAGTGCGAGCGTGCAGGTGGGGGAGGACTGTGGTTGCCCCTTAGCCTGTGTTTGCGTGTTTGTAAATCTACAGCCAGCGCACCTAGCGGAAGTGAACTGAAACGTGCATGTTCACAAACACACAAACCAACACTCAAACATTCGCCGGTGAAAACATAATCTCCGCCACGCCCCTGGCGGAGGTAATAATAATAATAACAATAATATAATAATAACATAATAACAATAATGATGACATAGGGACATAAAATAAGCGGGAAGAAGAAATACAGCAGTTTTTATAACATATATGTTCGACATATTGGGACGTGGCTCGAAAACGGCAGGAATGTCAGGTTGAATGTCAGGTGTGGCCTAGTGAAATGAATGCGGAGCAGGATCCACAATATAAGGCAGTAGGAAGTGAAAAATAAGTAGGGTTGACCCAGATCGCATGCCACTCGCAAGTCTTTGTTAATCTAGACATCTACACGTACTACAGACACGAGGGCAAATCTATCGCTTCTACATTGGAGTACCCATGACAGAGATGCCAACACTTTTCTGAGCAAACTGTAGCGAGGATGTCTGAAATCTGTAGTCCGAGGGTCACGCAGTGACTCGAGTATGCTAGAGGGGTTCGGGGCATGCCCCCCCCCACGAAAGATTTTTGATTCCGAGATGCAATTTCCTGCATTCTGGGACCCAAAATGACATTAAGTTCACACTGATATTTGCTGCTAAATACATGTAGTTATTTTCAATCATGTATTATCAATGTAACACTGAAACAAAACACTTGAAATATAACAAATATATTTTTTTTAGATCGTAATAAAAATCGTAGTTGTATGCAAACTGGTCGTAGTGGTCAAAATGCAAACGAAATTCGCATAAAATACGGATAAATCGTAGTGGTTGGCATCTCTGCCATGAAAGGAAATGAGGCTAGGGTAATGTACGCTGGGAAAGCGTTCACAGTTCATTCCAAAGTAGAACTTTTGCAGGTACGAAACTGAAATAGAGACGCGTCATCAGCCATGCCCGTACCAGCGACATTATTGAGTTAGGCCGAGGCCATGCCACACTAAAACATATTATTTACTCTTGCAGTCGTGCGTGTTTAGTTCCATTTTGCTTCGTCTGACCGATCGTGTACCGACTGAACTCAGACTGCGCTAACCCGTGACGTCCGAGCGTGACCTAACGACGTCCAAGCGTGACCTAACGACGTCCACTCACCGTGATGTAGACAAGGGAACAGAGATTGACTGCTCCGGCTACGATCGACTTCATGGCCTTGAGGCTGGGATCGGCCAAATCCTCGTATATCACAAAGATCTGACTGCAAGAGTACGAGAGAGTGTTCACATCTCAGGGGCCCGTTGTCAGAAACATCGTAAAGTTAATGCTACGATAACACTTACGACTAATGCTAATGTTGCGAGACTAGCGTTGACAGAAACACATCGCAGCTATTA